GCTAAAGCATGTGAAGAATAATGAAAGCCACAGAGACTATTACTGGATTCAAGCAAGCAAATATTGATGAAGCAGCATGGATGAGTAAAGTACCAGAAATGGCACTTCTTGCATTTGAAGATCAATGTTCACCAGCTAATCCAAGAGTCCCAATGGTTAAGGATATGGAAAAGATTCTCAAAGCTGCATATTATCCAATTGCTTGAATAGATAATTAATTACTTTTTTATAAAATAAGGAAAAGGTTTAAGATAATTAATAAAAGTTTTTAAACAATAAAATAGATGAGAAAAAGATATACATTGATGTTTTTAATAAGAAATGAAAGAAAGTCAGTCTTACCACGTCATAAAGTTATAGAATTTCAAATTGTAATGAAGGTTCAATCTATTTTCTGATAGTAAAAAAGTTATTGTTGCATCTATTAGAATAGACTCTCATCAACAAAATAAACTATAAAGACCTTCTTTGGTATTTCTTTGTCCATCTTCATTGAGTTATAGAAATACCAAGGATGTAATTATTTAAAGGTTGGTCAATGAACTGACAAACACATTAACATAAATAATGGAACAAATAAGTATTAGCTCTCCAAGAAAAAGAATTTATCATAACATTCTTGAAACTATTGGAGGTACGCCATTAGTAGAACTTCATGGAGTAACAGAACATCCAAGAATTAAGAAAGGAACACGAATTTTAGTTAAATTAGAGTATTTCAATCCAATGTCATCAGTTAAAGATCGTGTTGGATTTAATATTGTTTATCAAGCTATTAAAGATGGAAGACTAAAACCAGGAATGGAGATTATTGAAGCTACATCAGGAAATACAGGAATTGCACTTTGTCAAGCTGGAGCTGTTTTTGGGTATCGAGTTAACATTGCAATGCCATCAACAATGTCAGTTGAAAGACAAATGATTATGAAAGCATTTGGAGCCGAATTAATTCTAACTGAAGGAAAGAAAGGAATGCCAGGTGCTATTGAAGAAGTTAACAAAATGATAAAAGAAAATCCAGGAAAATATTTTGTTGCAAATCAATTTGGTAATCCAGACAATACCGCAGCACATCACTACACTGCTAATGAGATTTGGGAAGATACAGATGGAGAAGTTGACATTGTTGTTTCTGCTGTTGGAACATCAGGGACTGTTATTGGGGTTGCTGAGAAATTAAAAGAAAAGAAAAAAGGAATTAAAATAATAGCAGTTGAGCCAGAAGAATCAGCAGTGTTGGAAGGTAAAGCAAAGGGACCACATGGAATTCAAGGAATTGGAGCAGGTTTTATTCCAGATATTTATAAGAAAGAATTTGTTGATGAAATAATACCAATTAAAACACAAGATGCATGGAAAATGGCAAGAGCAGTAGTTAAATATGATGGAATTATGTGTGGAATGTCAAGTGGTGCAGCAATTTTAGCAGGATTAAAAGAAGCAGAAAAACCAG